CCCAAGTGTGTAGCTTTTTACTTTAAAAAAAAAAAAAAAAAAAAAAGGGGCAACAAACCCAGACTAGTTGTCCCAGTCAGACTTATTTCCCATCAGCAAAATTATTCATTAGCTGCTTGTGCTACCATGGGGCTGCACAACCGGTTTTAAAGGAGGGATACAGTGTGGGTTCTAGCAGACTGGATTTACTGTGTGCAGCACAGTCAGTTGTTTAAGTGCTCGCACCTTCCTTCCCGAGAAAGCAAGTGAAGCGTGCAAGCAGACTAGTTGTCCCAGTCAGACTTATTTCCCATCAGCAAAATTATTCATTAGCTGCTTGTGCTACCATGGGGCTGCACAACCGGTTTTAAAGGAGGGATACAGTGTGGGTTCTAGCAGACTGGATTTACTGTGTGCAGCACAGTCAGTTGTTTAAGTGCTCGCACCTTCCTTCCCGAGAAAGCAAGTGAAGCGTGCAAGGCTCTGGTGGGAGCAGTGAATTAAAACTTTGACCTAATTTAAAGCTGAAATGCATGAAGTGGAGAGAAACCAGAAGGGAAGCTGGGTTTTATTTTTGCTGCTCATGCTGCGTGCCTAAACACAGGCTGGGCTGATTAGTACTTTCTAACAGAAGCATCCCCTCAGACCCAGCATTTCTTTCTCCTGCCTGTCCTCTCTCAGTGCACCATGACCTGTGGCCAAGGCTACCAGATGAGAGCAGTGAAGTGCGTCGTGGGCACCTACGTGTCGGTGGTGGATGATAACGAGTGTAATGCCGCAACCAGGCCAACAGATACCCAGGTAAATCCTGCTGTCCTATCTCCATCTTTTGCCAGCGTGCATATGGAGGCACCCAGGTTGTGGCTTTGGGGGATGTCTTGCTGCAGCAAAGGCTTGTCCTGAACGTCACCCCATGCAGAGCAGTATCTTGGTCTGCTAGATGTCTGTTGGAGAGGTGCAGCGCAGCATCTCATTTTGGTAGAGATGGGACAGAGAAGCTGTATTTGGGGAGTTCCCATCCAGACCCTTTCTATGTGGTTAACCTTCTGCTCTGAAGCGCCAGATTGCCAAAAAGGCAATGGACAGCTTGTTACAAGGGCATCAAGACTTCATGGGGTAAAGATTACCTTTGCTTATGCTTTATATCCATGGAGCTCTAGTTATAGGGTGGGATGTGTGAGGGGCTGTCCAGATTCAGAGCTAAAGCTGGGCTCTCAGAGCTGGTGAGCCAAAGAAGTGGCAGTAGATGAATATGGGAAGACAGCCAGAGAGCAGAAGGGTACACCTCCTTTGGCTTGCTTGGGGTCTGGGATGCTCGGCTGCAGTCTGGGCTCACTTGGCTGCAGGACAGTTGCTGTGTGGTCCTAACGATGACCAGGGGCCATCATTTCTTGTCTGCTGCACGTGACAATATAGCGTACGCGCCAGCTACAATTTCAGACACATCCCCCCGGATGGATAAATTGAGAAATGTTGCACGCCCTTTGCAAATTTGCTGAAGAGGCTTTCCATGCTATGTTCGCTGGTGCTTGGAAGCAAACATGTAAATTCCCATTGCAAGCAGAGAATGTGCCCATGGTGTCTGAAGGAGCTGAATAAAGCAGAACATTACCATCTATCTGTCATCTAGGGAAGTCGTAGTGCTGATGCCCTGCCCAGCTTTGGTCCTGCATGACTTCACAGAGTTTAACTAAGGCCACAACATTTAGGAAAGGGCTGTTTTTCCCATGTATGGAGACCAATTGCACTGCAGTCAAGGGGTAGCAAACCTACTTGTCGTCAGCCATTGCCTGGTATGCACATCGCCAGTCTAAGTAAAATCACAGCAATGCGGAAATCATTTGTGCCATTTGTCAAGAGCCGGTCTCTCCCTTGCGGTGACGATCAGTATTAATTTCCTTTTTGGCCGTGACTACTTGTAGGCTCACAGAGTAAAGTCATGGCTATTCATCATTTCTGTTGCCAGACCTCCCAGGAGGTCCAGACAGGACCAGAGCCCCCCTGTTAGGCACCGTACCAAGACTGAGCAGAATGACATGCCTGTCCCCAAAATCTTGCATGCTTAGTGTGTGGTGAAGATCAGCACGTGGATATAGGTGGTCTGGTGGGCTGCAGGGAATCAAAGGGCTGCAATCAGCTCAGCAGCAGAACCTTTACTAAGTGGGCTGCAGGTCTTGCACTGAAGGAAGGGAGCTTTGGAGGGAGATAAAGTTGCTGCTTTGCAGATGTGTGTTCATACCAGAACTCTCTTAATGAACTTTCATCTTTTGCCTCAAAAACATCTGGTTTTAATGCATGGAGATGGCACATGGTTATGGGGATTCCTATTGTAGAGTGCCGAATAAGTCAAAAATCCACCGAGGTTCTGCATACCCTCAGGGTATTCATACCAAGTTTTGCTGATTCAACAAGAGGATGCAAGGAGAAAGCCTGCCAACACACAAGCATGCAGGTCGTGGATTTTCAAGACGTTGTGCATTGTTGATAATTACATCGGAGAGGAGGTGGTTTAACTGAAACATCTGCAAATTCTTTATTTCCCTCTTTTCCCTCCTGTATTTCATGCATAGGACTGTGAAATAGCAGCATGTCCTCCCCATCCAAATAGTCCCGAAGCCAAGAGATCCATATCAGGCATTCACAGGACGCAGTGGAGATTTGGATCCTGGACACCAGTAAGTGTGTACCGTAATAGTTTCCGGATTATTTTACAGTAGACAGTGTGGTATTTTTAAGTGCATTCAACCAACTTCTCATTCCAAAGCCCTTGTGATATGTATCAGGGAACTTTCTAGTGGAATGCTTGTTGCTCTTCCCTAGTGCTCCGCAACGTGCGGGAAGGGTACCCGGATGAGATACGTCAGCTGTCGAGATGACCAGGGCTCAGTGGCCGACGAGTCAGCTTGTTTCCACCTCCCGAAGCCGTCAGCCACAGAAATGTGCACCGTGACGCCATGCGGGCAGTGGAAGGCCTTGGAGTGGAGCTCTGTAAGCATCGCGCTGCCTCTTGCAGGAAAAGCCTTATAGACCTCGTTGCTGGAAAAGTGTTTCATTAATCTGTCACACTTGCCCTTTTATAACTGGGGAGATGAAGGTTTTCTGCTGTTCGTTATTAGCAATAGCTGTCTGCCTGATTTCCAAAGCTGGAAAATGTGACTGTGTCTCCTTTTCCCACTGTAATGCAGTGCTCGGTGACTTGTGGTCAAGGTAAGGCAACGCGACAAGTGATCTGCATCAATTACAGTGACCAGCTGGTGGATAGGAGTGAGTGCGATCCAGATGACCTCCCTGCCACCGAGCAAGACTGCTCCATGTCTCCTTGTCATCCAAACAGCCATGACTACGGCAGGCCCATCCACCCTTTCCTCTATCCGGACCATCGCCTGAAACTGCACCCTGGAGGCAGCCCAAACCAAAACCGTGCACATATACCAGGAGGCAATCAGTGGAGGATTGGTCCTTGGGGTGCTGTAAGTGCCCTGGTTTTCTTATTATTCTTGGGTTGGGTTTTTTTTGTTTGTTTGTTTTTTTTCTGGGCTAATCCAGGCTTTTCTTAACATCACCACAGAGGGAAGAGGGACCCTTCTCCCTACTTTCTGCTCTCTGCTCACATGACCAGTAGGGTGCAGGCATCGCTTAGCCTCTCATCAGCCTCATATCTCCAAGGTCCTCCAGGCAGAAAGCTGACGGCATCATTTACCATGAGGCAAAGGCCAACCTCTGCTTCTGAACCGTCTGCTGGGACGTTTACAGCTGCGCAGAGCGGTTGCCAAAGCACAGCAGAGCCTTAACGCCAGCTGCTCTCACCCCAGCCAGTTGGTGATGCTTGTTCATGGAAATCCCTAAAGGGAATTAAGCACAAATGGGATGTCAAACATTGCATTAAAGGCAGCAGGGATTACTCACCTGCTTAACACTAGGCTCGTGTTTATTTTCTTTGCTTAGTCAGCACCTAAGCCATTGCACTGCTTTTAGTAATAGCTGGGTTTTGAAGTTAATAATGCCTGTTAGCTGTATTAAATTTCTAGTGGTACATTCCCACGGTGCAAGGCACCGGGAATGAGCTGGGAATGCAAAATTATTCCTGGACTCAACAGAGCCACGGGCAATTGTGTCTTCCAGTGCTCTAGCACGTGTGCGGGGGGGTTCCAGCGGCGGGTCGTGGTGTGCCAGGATGAAAACGGATACACCGCAAATAACTGTGATGAGAAAAGCAAACCCATGGAGCAGAGATCGTGCGAATCTGGCCCCTGCCCTCAGTGGGCTTATGGCAACTGGGGAGAGGTGAGTGCATCATTCATCCTGGGCTCCCGGCGCCGGGGAAGGCTTTCATTAGTGGGTGACTGAAAAATGGGAGAAGAGGGAGATATTGCGGTGACATTTATTAGAAAGATTGGAGCATGAAAGGCAGCCTCTGATAAATGAGCGAACCCTAGCAACTGCTTTGGTGGTGTTTTCCTTTCCATTTCTCATGGGAAAATTTTCTTCCCAGGTAAAAGCAAATTCTACAAATGCAATTTTTTTTTTCCTTTTTAAGAGAAGTTTAAGTAAAGGCCTTTTTTCTTAATAAAAACACTGCTCCCTTCTGAAAATTTGTCTGAGGGGAGCAATTAAGAGATGTGACCCTCCAGCATCATGTTGGGTCTGGCAGTATCTTTGTGGAGCAGCACAAACAGCTGTGGGAAGAGAGAAGCTGAAGTGGCTGATGCCGTGTCTGAGGCTCCTACGGCATTTGGGGGGAGCTGGCCGGGGTGGGTTGGTTGGGAACAGAAACAACCAGTGGGTCTTGAGAGGTGCTGGCGCTTCGAGTGACTGGCTAGCAGTGGTTTTGCTGCCCAGATGGTGATTGCTGTGTCCTCTGCTGAATTCCAGTGCACGAAGCCATGCGGGGCAGGGACGAGAACACGGCTGGTGGTGTGCCAGCGCCCTAATGGAGAAAGGTTTACGGATCTGAGCTGCGAAATCCTTGACAAGCCCCCGGACAGAGAGCAGTGCAATGTGCAGGACTGTCCTAGAGATGCTGCCTGGAGCGCTGGTCCTTGGAGCTCGGTACGACCATAAACTCTTTCTCTTTGTGAACCGTTTTGTGGATATCCCGTAACAACAGATTTTAATTTGCTTCAAACCAAGGTGCTAATGCTTCGTGTCTTAAAACTGCACTTAAAGAGGATTATTGACAATATATTCAGAATAACACCTGTTCAGGAAGGGCTTACGTTAGGGGAGCTCGAGTCCTTTAATTTAAAAGGCACTTTCTGCTAAGTACCCACCTTTGTCCATTTTATTACACTCTGCGAGCACTGTGCATTGTGAGTCTTGGTTCTCACTGAGTTCTTTGCATATAGATTTAAACCTGGCATTTAAGCAGCACATTTCCATTGAAGTTAAAATTGTCCGGATATTTAATGGTAATACTGCACTGTGCACCTACTGGTTTACCAGTCGCGTGTTCTCTGCCAAAAGCAAGATGACGGGGGGAAATTGTGTACCAAATTGCATCAGCTCCCAAGCACGTACAAGTGTGTGTAGATGTGTGTGCGTGTCCCTACCTGCCCCCACACACAGCTATATAGGAACGCGTGTGCATTCACACCCGTGCTCCGTTTCTGTTCCCATGTATGTGTAATATGAGTGTGATGCACTGTGCAAAGGCATCTGTAAGCTATTCTCATGCATCTCTCTGGTTCTGGAGAGTTTTTGTCTGGCCTGATCTCCAGCTGCTGCTCTAGATACCATTAAGTCAGCAAGGGATCAGCAAGGTGGTGGAAGGCTTAAAACCCTGGGATTTTTCTAATGACAAAATAGGGTTTGGAGCAGAGGTGTCTTACACTGCTCCTTTGCCGCTGGAGGAGTCTGCTACAGAGATGCTCTTGCGAGGGCAGAGCCACCCTGAACCGGGGGGCTGGGATGCTGTTTTGGGTCCCACAGCTTTGAAATTCTCCCTGCCCAGAGCAGCACCTCCTGCTCAGCGCAGAGCCCCGGTGTGCAGCACGGGGCTGAGCCCTGCGCCAAGGCGAGCGCTGCGCTTCTGGCGCACTGGAAACCATGGACCTGCCGGTTTTGGAGTGGCCTTCAAACAAATGTCGACCTTTATTGTGTATTTTGTTACAAAAGCATTTGAAGAAGATTTTAAAAAAAAAAACCAAACCAATTAATCTGACTCAAAAGCACTTTATAGGAAAAGAAAAAAAAAAAAAAGGTGGGGGGCCTGTTTGTAATGTATTTGACTTCCTTAATTGTCATGGTTTGAAAAGTCATCTTGCTAAAACGTAACCGCACTCTGGTTTCTGCGGGTGCTTTCAGTAACGCGGATGCCTTCGGTAACACTCCTCAATATTTTTACCATACCTCAGTGAGTTATGCAATAGCCATAAAACTGCTGACCTGGTGTTTATACGGTGCTTTACCAGTACAAGGGACAGTGATATGAAATATTTCATTTGAGGTGCTAATGTATCACTTGTACGCTGATATAGTTGGTGCTAAAAATGAGCGGGGTGAGCTAAGGAGAGCTAGCAACCCGTGCGGCGGCTTCCCCGCAGAATTACCGGCTGGGAGCTGCTGCCAACCTTTGTTACCTGTGCTGGACCATTTGCAAGAACCAAAGGTGTGGACAGAGTTGCGTTGCGTTTTGGTGTCGCTCAGCGTTCAGCCTCTTCCCAGCTGTTCAGGAGCAGGCTCCAGGGCTCTTCTGTGTTGGAAATGCAAGATGCAGTCCTGGGTTTGGGTTGGTTTTTTTCACCCAGGAAAAATTCCCTCGACCCTTATACTAAGTCGTATTAACTTTGGTGGGTCGTCCCTTGCTCGGTCTCCTGGGAGCGGGTGGGATGTCTGGCAAACGGGCGGAGGGCAGGGGCATCCTATCCTGCCCGCAGCATCTCCTCCCACCTGCCCGCGGGGCTGGCAGCCCCCCGGCCTCCCAGAGGTGAAGGGGCTGCAGAGCTGAGCCCCGGTTGTTGCCACCAAGTGACTTGGATTCTTCAGGTCTTATTACCGAGGTGTCATTTGGCTCTGACGTAGGGGACCCCAGAGCTGTTTGAAGACTGAATTGTATCTATGGGGTCAACAGGGCTTCGTGTCCCTCCTGCAAAATACTCCCCATATATGTCTACCTCGTGCTACTACTGTAGGTAGTAACGTCCAAATTATTTTTCTTTAGTGTGGTATCACCTGGATTTGCTTTAGCTCTGTCATTGGTTGCAAACACCTTTCTGTAGCTGTACATACTTCATCTGTTGGGATGGAGTGTCACTACCATATTTTTTTGGTCACTTTTGAAACAAGAGTATAGTATTAGCTGAAACTTTTCAGCAGTATGGATTTATGTATTTATGTAAAAGTGTATTTATTTTTCCAATATTGTTATTTAATTTTATATAAATATTGCATACATTTACAATGTTTAATGTTAATGTTGAACAGTGAAAATTAAAGACAAGTAGAATGTAATCATAAATGAATTTGTATAATGATTTCTTGAGTCTTTTGCTAAATTAAGAGCATATACTTAGTTTGGGTAACTTTTACTAAATTTTCTGAAATGGTACTGCAATATTCCATCATTTGACTCGCTTTTATTTTATTTGCTTTGTTCTCCAACAGAAACTGTCATTCTCAATAATTAAACACCACAGTTAAAAGTGTACGAGTTATAAAGTTTGGATAACTAATTTCTTGCAAACATCTGATTGGCTTAGCTTCACTCAAGTGAAATTAGTGCTACAAAATACAGACAAATTAAAGCAGAGAACGCCTGAAGAGTCCAACCCTCTGTCCTCAGGCGAAATTCCACTGGGATTTTACACAGTAAACAAGTGATTTTATCTGGCTGGTTAAATCCAGGTTTTAAAGAGGTAATTAAATGAATAAACAGATTCTGTATGTAAATGATAATTTTCTAACAGGAGACTGGTGAGATGCCTTGTCATTATAATGTATGTTCAAAGAGGACTAAGAGGAGGTGACACTTTTATTTCCTTGTTTATTTAAGAACATGTATTTAAACACCGCAGAATTGTACGCCGTGTGATAGACCTGACCTTTTAATTAAAATAATGCTTTAGAAAACATGCAGAGACTGTCACCAGGATACAGAGAGTGTTTTTTCTCCTCTGAATGCCTTATGGTATGACCGCAGATCTCCATACATGCTCTCGAATACCGAGAGGAAATCTCGCCATGTTCTCCAGAACGAGGGAGATGTTCACAGAGTCTAACCCATCGCTTCATGTAAAGCCCGAGGCTGAACCCACTTCTCTGGGAGCAAATCTGCTCCTTGCACTAATCTCTGTGAAATTTTGAGTTTGCCATAATACCCAGCTGTATCCTGACGCAATTTATGAATAATGCTGAATTCACTTGTCGTGGCCTTCTCATTCTTTCCGCGTTAGGAAATGGGCGCAGATAAGGTAAAACAATTATATCTCACAGCGCCCTGCCCTGGGCCGGTCGGGTGAGTCCTTTGGGCTTCGCTGCAGCGGGACAGTGATCGTGTGGATTTGACCTGTGGAAAACGAGTGGGTGGATGGATGTTTGGGTGTTGGTTTGTTTTTTCTTCCTAGAGAGTATTACAATTTAAAAAGTAATCTGCTTTGTCAAGTACTTATCGCTCTTGGGTATCAAAAGTTCTAGCTGCTAATGCAATGGTTGTGTAGCTCTTAATGCCTGCAAAACAGCAGCGTGTGCTTCCCACCTCCTTATCGAATAGGCAGAAATGCTGGTATCTTTGAGGGCCTTTTGATCTAACGGTGAAGAATTGGAAGCTTAGTGTAGAATAATTAGAATATTAGCTGGCTAAGCCCCAAACTCTGTTACTGTCGATGTGAATTCAGGTTTGGGTTAAGACAATGATGCCGTATCCCCGTAGCCAGAGCTGGAAGCTGCTGGCACCGATGGCTCTGCAGGGCTCTTTGGCAGCACACAGGGATGCAGGTAGCAGTGAAGGGGCTCCGGACTTGGTGGGAAGCAGGAGGACTCTGTGTCGGGGAGGAATTTTAATCTTAAAATTGGTGTCAATGGAAACTTTGGGTTATTTGTATTTAATTCGGTCAAAGCCCCAGCGCATTGTTTACAGAATGCCTTCCCCATGAAGCTGGCTGAAAATAGGCTGTTCAACAGCAATATTCTCCATGTCGTTGTTCTGATAATATTCTTAGCAGGCAGGATGTCAGCTCTTGCTAAGGCAGAAGTGATAACCAGGGGCAGATTTGGTTGCAAGTGTGTATAAATCTGCTGTTCTCTTCCTCTCTTGTGCAGAAAATGAATTTGCTGTGACAGCAGCATTACTGCGCAGCATAGGATTCTTTGCACGTGTTTTTGCAATGACAAAGCCATCCTTAAAAATGAAGTGATAGGCACGTTGAACTTCTCCAGTCACTCAGTGATTCACGTTGCTTTTTCTGTCCTTCATTCATATGATGTTGGTTCAGGCACTGAGACTGCGGCAGCAAGTCTGTATTTCTCCATAGTGCCAGGCATTATCAGAAAAGTAATAAAACCAATCCTACCCTGAGAGCCTGTGGGGGAAGGACAAGTGTTGCGGCAGCAGAGGAAGGCTGCAGGTATGGTCCCAGCACCCATAACCCCGGCAGAGGGATGCACTGGGTGGCTTGCATGCCTTTAGAAAAACAGATGGAAATAGATGCCTTAGTGAAGATTGAATAAAGCTGATCCAGACCAAAATGAGAACTTGGTAGCCTATGGATATCCCCAGCCATCTGTCTGAAGCTGTCTCTGTCTCAGAGCTGTTTACTGTATGCTTAGGCTGGCCCACCAAGGCTGTTGTCCCTCCTGGGTTCCTGGCTGTCTCCCCTCTAGGATCACTCAGACCGACTGACTCCAGGGACTGCCGGTTTGGTGTGCTGAGGAAAGGCAAGAAGTTGTCTGGTTTGGTTCCCTGGTCTTTGACAGTGCAGACCTCTTTGCTTTTGTTTAAAAAGGCAAACCAGACCCGTTTCAGCCCTTCCTCATGCCCCCTGCTGTGTGTGACCTGGCATGAGCATCCCATCACCAGTGCCCAGCTTCAGCCACCCTCCAAAACTGCACGTCCC